AGTTGCAGACTTTTCAGGTAGGCACATTTTCAATGGTGAGCAAGCGCGCGCATCTGCTAGTCAGCTGCTGCCTTTCCGATTGCACATTATGGGCATTTCCCCTCGAGTGCTCAGTAGTAGTGACTCAACTTGCGCGCCAATTTCAATTTTTACAGCACAACTGGTGAAAAGAAAGTGAGTGCGAGAGACAGTTGCGACCCTAGGTGCTTTGCTTTTCCCGCCATTTTGTGACACTGCAAAAACCCCGGCAGTTGCAGTGAAAAGTTTGGGCGTGAACGGGCAATAGCAGCAGAAAGAGCAGGAGCGGACCGGATATCCTCTCTTTCCCACTCTATAACAGTGTGAAGTGCATCACTGAGAAATGGCGCGCAAACAGAACAAGCGCGAGCCTTCTTTACCGGTACTCAGAAGTACTGAGAAGAGTGAAAAGGTATAATACAAAAACAAGTTTTTATTGGGCAAAAGCTGGAAGAAAAGTAGAAGAAACGGTTAAGGAAAACAAAACACCAATATGCTCGAAATTCGTCAAACATTGTGGCTCTGAAAAGAGCCTTTTGTGATGAGAGTAGGATGATGATGAAGATGAACCCTAACCTAACATAACCGAAGGGAGGATGATGATGGGAGGATGATGGGAGGATGAAGGGGGTGAAGGGTGAGGGTCAAGAAGTGCTTACTTCTTGGCGGGCTTCTTGGCCGCAGCCTTGGGCTTGGCCGCCGCCGCCTTCTTGGGCGACTTGGCGGGCTTCGCCTTGGGCTTGTCGGCCTTGGGCTTCTTCGCGGCGGGCGCCTTGGCCACNGGATGATGATGAAGATGAAGGATGATGATGGGAGGATGAAGGGAGGATGATGATGGGAGGATGATGGGAGGATGAAGGGGGTGAAGGGTGAGGGTCAAGAAGTGCTTACTTCTTGGCGGGCTTCTTGGCCGCAGCCTTGGGCTTGGCCGCCGCCGCCTTCTTGGGCGACTTGGCGGGCTTCGCCTTGGGCTTGTCGGCCTTGGGCTTCTTCGCGGCGGGCGCCTTGGCCACCTTTGGCTTGGCGGCCTTCGGCTTGGCAGCGGCGGCCACCTTCTTCTCTCCGGCAGGCTTGGCGGCCTTCTTCGGCGAGGCAGCCTTCTTTGCGACTGCGGCCTTCTTCGGCTTGGCGGCCTTCGGCTTGGCAGCGCTGGCCTTCTTCACCGCCTTCGGCTTGTCCGACTTGGGCTTGTCGGCCTTGGGCTTCTTCACCTTGGCGGCCTTCGGCTTGGGGGCGTCCTTGTTGAGCTTGAAGGAGCCAGCGGCGCCCTTGCCCTTAGCCTGCACCAGCGAGCCCTTGGTGACGGCGGACTTGAGGAACTTGCGGATGAAGGGCGCAAGTCGCTCAATGTCGACCTTGTTGTTCGCGGCGATGTACTTCTTGATGGCCTGCAGCGAGGAGCCGTTGCGCTCCTTCAGGGCGCTGATGGCGGCGGTTACCATGCTGGCGACCGGCGGGTGCTCCGGCTTCGTCTTCGGCTTCGAAGACTTGGGCGCCTTCGGCGACTTGGCCTTCGGGGCCTTTTTCGCGGGCGAGCTGGGAGCAGCAGGGGCAGCGGCGGCGTCAGTTTCGGCCATGATAGCTGGAGTTGTTGTTGGTGGTGGTGGTGGTAGTGGTAGTGGTGGAGACGGAGTCGTCTGAACGGTGGCAGATCGAGTGAGCGAGTGAGAGACGACGGCCGGTTTCACTACCTTTTTATATACGACACTCTGATCAGCGGTCGGGGAGGTTCAGGGTGGAGTCTCAGGCTGCAAGCTCTCGTCTTCCACTGCAGCCTCGCTCTCTGTCTCTCTGTGCTTCACTCTGGCCCTCGTTGACGGTGCCTAGGCCGCAGGGACGGACACTGCAGGTGGCCATTTAGCAGGGGAAGCTGTCGGCCTAGCACAGCACCACCAGAGGAAGTGCCACTGAAACGGAAACGGGTGCTTTGGCGCCAAAAGTGGTAAATGGCCAAGTTTGCTGCACTGTGCTCGCACAATTATTTACCCATTCTGGACCAATTGACCGTTTTTCGATAATTTCAATCATTCCAATTAAAATTTAAAATTCATAATTAAAACGAGAATTTCATTGAATCTGATTAGCAGTAATTTGACTAGCAGGGCTCATTCTAATCAGCAAAACTAAATGATACAATCTGAATTTGAGACACAAATGCGCACTGAGTGCAGCCTCTTTTGAGGCATTTTACAACCGCCACAAACAGCAGCTACAACAGAAGAGGAATGCAAACACCAAACAAGCTGATTTTTAAAAACAAGACACTTTATTTATTATTATCAAAAGAGAGAAAGAGAAAGTAAAGCTAGAAAAGGAGTAAGGTAAGTTAGAGAGAAGTAAAATGCTCGAAATCGGGAGAGATTGTGGCCCTGAAAAGGGCCTTTTGGTAATGATGTAGTGGGGATGAAGTGATGGAGGGTGAGGGGTGAAGCGATGCTTGGGTAGCAGGAGCAGACAATGCAGCTTAACCGCCGAAACCGTACAGAGTGCGGCCCTGGCGCTTGAGCGCATAGACGACGTCCATGGCGGTGACGGTCTTTCGCTTGGCGTGCTCGGTGTAGGTGACAGCGTCGCGGATGACGTTCTCCAGGAAGACCTTGAGGACGCCGCGGGTCTCCTCGTAGATGAGACCGCTGATGCGCTTCACACCACCGCGGCGAGCCAGTCGGCGGATGGCGGGCTTGGTGATGCCCTGGATGTTATCACGAAGAACCTTGCGATGGCGCTTCGCTCCGCCCTTTCCGAGTCCCTTGCCTCCCTTGCCGCGGCCAGACATGATCAGCGAGTGAGTTTGAGGTTGCTTGAAGTTGCTTCGAGAAGAAGAAGTCAGCGACTGAACTGCGAGTTTGCTCTCCTCCACGACGACAAGGGGCTTTTATAGCTGACAGGCGAATCACCGACGCGCTGAGTCCTCGCCGGCTACTGCTGGCAGAGGTGGAGCTCCCACTGGAGAGTAGTGCCACTCAGCGCCACTGTGGTGGTGACTGTGCTGCTGCTGATTGGCGCGAAAACTCAACGGACGACCTGAAGTGAGGGGGAAAGAAGGGGGGGAGTGACACATCAGCCAGTGGTGATATGCCCCTTAGTTTTACATTTACAAACGGATGAATTAAATGAAGATGATTCGGATGATCAATTAAAAGTACCTGATTTATTTGAGAGAATAGAATTCGCAACCACTCAATTTAGTTTCACTTTAGTGTTTGTTTGAGGGAAATGCTGCGTCTCTTATTTCTGTTTTTTACTTTTAATTAAAGTTTACGTCTGCACAACGTTTCTAAAGTGCAACTTTACGATTTTCTAAACTCTTACGGCCGCTTATCACTTGATCTGGCCAATCATTTCATTTTGGTCATGCAAAGTTTTGGTTTTGATAAACATTTAGTTACAATTTTACCCAAAGCAGTTTTAGTTCAGTTTTAGAGAATAAATCAGTTTTATTGTTTGGATTTACTTGTCAGAGTTCAATTCAATTGGACAGCAGCAAGCAGTTGACTCAAGTGCACACATCAACAAAAGTGTGCTGCAAGTTTGTGCATTACTTTGTGTTTGCTTGTGCAAGCTCATCTTACCACCAAGCCTAACCGTCACTTCCAAACAAACCTCAATGCAAAATGGTGATTCACACCAACTTGAGTGACGAAAAGACTAGAAAACACCAGGCTAACACTAAGATTATTTTGACCGAAAAGAAGTGCCACTTTTATTGTTTCCCTCAGCACTCACTAACTCAATTTAAAATGCGTTGGAAACCGAAAATAAAAACAAAAGAAAGCAAAGGCTCGCATTTTCGTTTGAGTTTGTGGCCCTGAAAAGGGCCTTTTGATAAAGTTATGAAATGATGAAGGTGATGGGAGAGATGAGGGTGATGAGAGGAGGGAGAGAAGTGGACGCTTAGGCGCGCTCACCACGGATGCGGCGGGCCAGCTGGATGTCCTTGGGCATGATGGTGACACGCTTGGCGTGGATGGCGCACAGGTTGGTGTCCTCGAAGAGGCCAACCAGGTAGGCCTCGCTGGCCTCCTGCAGGGCCATCACGGCCGACGACTGGAAGCGCAGGTCGGTCTTGAAGTCCTGGGCGATCTCGCGGACCAGGCGCTGGAAGGGCAGCTTGCGGATGAGCAGCTCGGTCGACTTCTGGTAGCGACGGATCTCACGGAGGGCGACGGTGCCGGGGCGGTAGCGATGGGGCTTCTTCACGCCGCCGGTGGCCGGGGCCGACTTGCGGGCGGCCTTGGTGGCCAGCTGCTTTCGGGGAGCCTTGCCTCCGGTGGACTTGCGAGCGGTCTGCTTGGTACGGGCCATTGCTGGTTCGAGTTGGTGATCGGTGGTTTACGAATCGGGGAGATGGCAAAGAGAGCGAGTGTCGGCTGCAGTGGTCGCAGTTCGGCTTATATACCGCACTGGCAGATCTCCGGCCGGTGAGTCGCGTGGAAGGAGCACAGCAACAGAGGCAGCACACAGTGCTGCCCTCCCTTTCCCCTCACTGGAGGGAACGATGGTGCTGCCTGCTCGCTCTCCAGAGTGGCCAGCGAGAGTCCCCTCTCTTTTGGAGGGAAGTAATGGCAGGAACAGACGGTTGTCGCCAGCAGATGGGAAGCTGCTACTACTAACACTGACTGCAATGGTGTGTCCTGCAGATTCAGTGGTGACGGCAGTGCCTTCACCTCTACGTGTACACACTCACTTCCAATTTGGCGCGCATTTTCTGCCTTTTCGAAAGTCGCGCCGTTGGTTTGAACTGGCAAAAAAGGAGGGAGGCGACGGATAGCACACATCTCAGCCAAGTGGCATTTAGAAAATGTTTTTTAACTGACAAAATAATGCATTTTTATTGAGTAATTAGAGCATCCTGTGAGACTACTTGTAGTAGGTTTGGAGTGCACATTGAAATGTGCTACAATTGCGGTGTGAGTGTCAGTGGTGGGCATTCAAAAATTGATTTATTGCACAAACAACACAGTGATCCACTTTGATGATTACATTTCATCCTTCTTCTGCTG